TTGTTATCGTTGGTCTAGGACTACAGTTTTTCGTGAATCTCTCTCTCATGGTTATGATTTATTCCAGTTTATATATATATATATATATACAATCTTTTTTCTTCTTTATTTATTAATCCTGATTACTGCAATTACAAAAATTATACATTATAAAAGTTCTTATCATTGATAAAAGATTTACATTGACCTTGTTTTGAATTTCTCTTCTTGGCATATGACAAAGATCATAATGTTCCAGGGCCTGAACTTGAAGTTCAAGACACCATTAGGCTTTTTTGGAAAAAGCCCGAGAACTGAACTGAATCAATCCGTTATTTCATGGATTGATTTGGTTCGGATTGATAGTCCCCACGAATCAGTTCGATTTTAGATTTAGCCAATCCGTGGTGACCGGATTAGTTTGAATTTTACCCGAAATCGAACTGATCCGATGCGTGATCAGTCCTACTGTATGTGGAGTTTTTATTGACAAGACATACCAATGACATGACATGACATGTTGGCTCACCCAATATCTTCTCCATTTTGACCCACTTAAATATATAAGATAAGAAACCAATTCTTTTGGAGGGTACCTAAAGCTGCAGCTAGGGCGGGCTCAAACTGAATTAACCCAAGCCTATCCCTAATTTTATCGAGCTTAGACAATTTAATAGCTAAGTGTTTATCCAATGTGCACTTCAATTGCATGCTGACAGCACCCCATGGCTATCCAGAGGTTGTCAACACAGTTCCTAATATTTATGAAAATGCCATTGGGCTAAAACTTGACCAGTACCCTTCTTCAACTTCACTACATTTGATCCATCAGTGTGAGCCTTCAATGGACTTTCCCAAACCACCCCCCACTACCATAATTTCAAAATCACCGCCTAGTTTCCTCACCAATCTCTGTCCAAGATCCAAATCCTCATCATCAACCAAAACCATGAATTATCTCTGCTTCATAATGATCGAAACATGAAGCGGGAATGAGCTTATGTCTTCATCGGATAAACACTTGGCTATCGGAGCCAAACCACTCTTCTCCGCCACACCAATTCAAAATCATTCTAAAACTTTCTCACCAATCTCTACCCAACATCCAAATCCTGATCAACCAAAGCCATGAATCGCCTCCGCTCGTGGCTATTGAAGCAGAAGGCGAGGACGGGCTCACGTCTTCGTTGGAGGAAGACTTCGTGGAAGTGTTGGTATGATTAGCGGTGTCGGTTTGGTTTGTTTTCTTGAATAACTTCTCGCGCACCGCTTAGAGTTTCATAATATAAAATTTGGAAAAGAACCAAGGACAATATAAAATAAAATAAAAAACACAATAAAACAAAAACTTTCATTAATTTCATCTCGAGTCACATATTAAGTGTTGAATGAATTATCCTAGTATCCTACGACAAATGGGACACAAAAGGGCCTTGCTTGTTTGAAACCATTGACAAATGCAATGAGAATGGAAATTATGGTTGCACAACGGAAGAACTTGACATGTCTCATCATCTTTAAAGTTCTCCAAACATATGGCACAATCACTAGTAGATTTCTATGAGCAACAACTTTTGTAAATCATCTCTAGGAGACCATCCAGCTTTTTCAGAACCTTCTCTTACTCCACTTGATCACCATCACCATCACCATAAACATGGTCAATAATGATCTCAATCCTGTGGTTTATGGGATTAACTCATCCTCTTCCCATATCCCAGCAGATTCCTCCCCATCGACATCGTTTTCGGCTTGCCTATTTCAACACGCGTGGATCAAATAGAAATATAGCGTAACAAGCAGACCAATTACAAAAACAAAATACGTCATCATACATATTTTAATATATGTGTGTGTGCACGCATGCAAAGAGAGAGAAAGATAGTGGTTGTGAATGACTGAATGTTATTATAGGCTACTATTGCTTCCACTAGTTTCTACGAGAATGACAATATATAGACGGATCTAGGGTTTCCAAATAAAGTTCTGTGCATATGTAGTTGGTTTATGATTAGGATTTAGTAAGAATCGCTCTCAGAGTTTAGACCCAACTTTCCAAGGATTGTAACACACGGATGTCCAAAAGGGACCCCACACGTTTGGGTGTCATCATATTTCAATTACTAATATACCCCTTCTTTATAATTTTTATTTTTTTTTATTTTTTTCATCTTCTTTATATAAATATTAAGGATATGTTTTCAGCTTTATATATTATTATTATTATTAATTAAAATCTCATTATTATTTATTTATAAGCAAGCTATTTATAAAACAATTAAAAACCACTATTTGTTAAAAACAACATGAAAAAAATGTGTCTATAATTTATTTATTTTTTAAATGTAACGTGTCTATATAGCTGTATGATTTTAAAAGGGCTTTATAGTTGTTGTATTAAGTTTTCCTTGAAATTCAAGCCGAATATTCTAACACTGCTAATTTATTTGACCGGAAAATCCTTAGTGCTTGGCTGGGCCTGGGTCTTAAATTATGGACGAGCCTACCCTTTTGGATTAAATTGTTTTTATTTTTGGAAATTTTATTTTTGATTCAGATTACTAATTCTAATCCATTAATTAGATTAAACTCATAATCTAATAATATATAAGCAATATGTATATATAATACATAAGTAAAGTAATAATGGAACTAATGTCTCAAAAGTAAAGTTTTACTCAAATTTATTAATCATTTTGACTGATTGTTTTTACTAAAATGATAAGTAAAAGGAAAATAATTCTTGTAACAAATAGTTACAGTGAATTGTTAGACTTACTCTTTTAATTGGTCAATTATACAACAAATAAGGAAATAGAGCCCTCCACTTAGTTGTATATGGTATAAATAGCCAATTAAAAATTATTTGGTTAAGCAATTCACTGAACTAGAATGAACATTGTAGTAGTAATAAATGCCAGAATTATTATTATTATATTTAGGTAAATCAACTATATTATTAATCAAGAAATAAAATGTACAGAAGAAACAGACCAATGCCCAAAACACAAGAAGCCCTATTAGGGTGACATCCAACCCGTAAAGACCCCTGCACCTGTATCCAGATCAGTGATGAGGAAGCTAGAAGCTTCAGCTGTTGGGTAGTGTTGCATACCCGCCCATTTATACACAATCATTCTCCCATTCAAATCCGATGTGGGACAAATATGCCCTTGTAACATTCGCCCCCACCGGAACTCGCAACGCCTTCATTGCGGTCGGGCCACCCTGCCTACCTGGGGTGGCTCACCCAAACGCCTTCCGGGTCGGGCGCTTGGCGTGGCACCGGATCAAGAATTGGGTCTGGTCTGGCTCTGATACCAACTGTAATAGGTGGACGTTTGCCCATTTATCCAAAAGTTCAAGCTGTTGGGTAGTGCTACATACCCACCCATTTATACTCAATCACTTTTCCATCCGAATTTGATGTGGGACAAATAAAGGGCAACCATCTGCAAAGCACGTCATTTTATTTTTTAATTAAAAATCATCCTCTTTATATAAAAATCAATGATATGTTTTCATCTTTATATTTTTTTATTAATTTTAATTAAAATCCCATTATCTTTATTTATTTACGCTGCTCTTTTTAAATTTATAAGGGTTGTATGGTCATTCAGAGAAATATGGGCTCTCACGTACAAGGTACAGGTTAGAAATTAACCGGCCGGAATGGGTAAATTGCAACCAAGCACTCAAGTTTAGGGAAGGTTTTCTGCTACTTTAGAAATTTAAGGGGGGTTGTTGCTCATTGGGATATAGTTAAAGAGAGTTTATTGTACTTTACCCATGTATATATATATATATTAAAAGTTGAACTTGAATCCAATTAGGATTCATTGTGAATGTTAAACCCTAATTTTCTTCAACTTGCTCAAAATACTGATTTCGAAACAATGGAGAGCTGTTGTCATGTAAATTGTAATGACAAAGAACCCTAAGCTTTTAGGGTATCATTTTTTAAAATTTATAATGTACCCTATCCGTGTAGAAATTAATTACAATGTATACGTTTTCATCTTTATACATCTATTTAATTGAGAAAAATTAAATTAAATCCCATTATTTGTGAATAAGACAAAAGATAAAGTTGTGTGTAAATGGATGTGTGTAATATAGATTCCTACAAAAACAGTTTTTTTTTTTTTTTTTTTGTTATTTATTAAACTTTATTATTATTTATTTATTTATTTTTGCAAAACAACCAAAATAAGACATTACAAACTAAATAAAACTCATAAACTCATTAGGACATTACAAACAAAAAGAAGGATATGATTTTGAATGTGGTGCAATAGTCTAATGGTAAGGCATGTGTTATTTGTGGCCAAAGACTCCAGTTGGAATCCCCACTCCATCAGTCAATTATTTTAACTTAAAATAAATAACAAAAGATATAATATCCAATCTAAATTCGAAGCTTTTGTTCGAAACGCAATTCCATAACATATGATCCTCTGTAATACCCATTCTATAAATTAAACTTTGTAGGAATTGTCATAGGAAAATTTTCCTTGGTAGCTTTGAGCTACCAAACATCCTTCCAGCTTTGTTTGATGTCGTGAACATAATTTGCCATTGGTTACAATGATATATACTAAAAAAAACACTCAGTTATACAATATGATTTAAAATTTTAAAAAAATAAGAGAATTCTTAAGATTGGTTCTGTTTCAGTGTAAGTTTAAAAAAAGAACAAAACTTACAAATATACAAATAGTATCTAATTACAAAATAAATAAAAAATAGTATCTAATTACAAAATCAAGAAATTAATAAATAAATAAAAAATAGATAGGAATTTTTTTTTTTTAAATTTATTGTTATTATTTATTATTTTTCTAATTTTATAATTACAAACTATTTAAATCACAAATATTTATAAAGTCTCATAATTTTTTATTATGGGAAGAAGTGCGGGCAATAATGGAATTTCAATTTTTAAGAAATCAATATTATATTTCCTTATATAAAAAATCAATTATATTATGGGGTATATATTTCATCTGTCCCAAAAGAGAACTGTTTTTGAGTCACAATCCTATCATCTATTGACGGAGGGATTACGATATATGTAATAACACTCACTAAAGTGGAATCACCGTACGGTTCCTTATTTTCTAATCATGGAAATCGACGGCTTCGTCTACGAAACCCTAAGCCCGCTCTCCGACCCTGCCGCCGACCAACAACCGGCACCAATCTCCGACGACTCAGAACCCTACGTCGTGTTCCGCCACCAAATTTCTCTCTCTACGAACCAATTTCCATCGCCGGAAACCGCCGCGCCGGACTTTTTCTCTCTGGACGTCGGTGCCGATCACGAGGAACTGAAAGAGTTTTTGGTTTCGACTCCGTTGCCAGCTGCAAGTCCGGCGCCGACTCGAGAGCTCGAGCCGACGCTTGAGAGCGGTTGGTTTCGAGCCAATTGTCGGTTCAAAAGCCCTATGCTTCAGCTCCATAAAGGTATCTTTTCTGTTTCTGTTTGCTAGTTTGATTCAAAGTGAAGCTATAGTTTTGTTATTCTATATATATTATTCTTGTGTGTTTTGTTTATTGGTTTTTAAACATAAATTGGTGCTCGAATGGAACATATGTAGTAGACTTGTTAACTTGAGATTGCAACCAATGCTACATTTATATTGAATGTCTTTTTTTTTCACTTAAATTTTTAAGTAGAAGTTATAAAACAAGATATTCGATTTTAGATAGGTTTCTGGAAATGGTTTAGGCTCGTGGACATTCATTGATAACTTCAGTTATTATATATATGTTTGATAGTTTTTGTGTGATTTTTAAGCAACTTAGTGAACGTGAAAGGTTGCAACCACTTGTTAGCATTTAGGAGAAATTTCATTACAGAACAGTGGAACTATTTTCTTTGTTGGTTGATCATGGGTATTATGGAGATAATAGATTAATGTGAGTTTTTTCTCATCGACTCCACTGAAGTTGTTTCCTTTGTTGGTTGGTGGTGAGCATTACAGAGATATTGGACTTCTGTGAATTTCTTTCACCAACTCCAGAAGAGCAAGCATCACGCAATCAAGCAGTAGAATGTGTCTTTGATGTCATCAGATATATATGGCCAAACTGCAAGGTATTCTCTCTCTCTATACATATATATATAATATGGAAATTTCATAGGTTGGAAATGTGGCAAGCTTATATTAGTAATTTTGCTTGTAGGTAGAGGTTTTTGGGTCGTTCAGGACAGGGCTTTATCTTCCAACTAGTGATATTGATGTAAGTTATTGCTTCCTGTTAGTAACTCCATGGATTATCAAGTTATGCCTCTGCCGGAATTAATATAATGATTGATCATGCAGTCACTTATACTATGCTTTCTCCTCTCTGTCATGGATTACCTTCTTCTTCTTCTTCTTCTTCCTTTTTTTTTTTTTTTTTTTTTTTTCATCTCACGACTTACATACTCTTGCTTTGTTATATGAAGCAAAAAAACACTCAGTTATTTTAACTTGTAAATATTTCACTGAAATGTTTGTGATTTAACCTTCCTCTTTCACATTGATGGTCAAAGATAAAGATTCTTTGAATAAAAGGGAACACCACAAATTGCTGTCAAGTGTTCACATTTCTTTTGGATATTGTCAAATTTTATTATGACCTTAAATTGAGTTTTTGGTACTGGAGCTAACCTTTTCAAGTTGGCAATTGGTCAGCAACCTGTTCACATGAACTTGTCTTGACTGAGCTAGAGCAATATGAATATTACACCATTGATCTCGAAATATTTTATTGCTTGTTGAACCCCTGTGAACTGTATGAAAGTAGGAGCTAGTGGGCTAAGCGAAACTCACTTGGGAAAAACTCCCTCCTTATCTATTCCCGTGGAGAGGAGTCTGACTTTGGAAGAAAGAGTTCTGAACGAATTAGCTCCTTGGTAATGGCTTAATCTATAGCTAGAAATCCCTATGATGGAAACTACCACGTTAGGTTTGGAGATTTTTACCCCATATTGTAGGGTGTATCTCGAAAAAGCTGTACATACAAATTTTGTGCAAGGGACATAGATTTGAGGCCAAGACCCCTGTCCCTAAAATCTGAAAATTTGAATTTCTGACAGAAGACTGATCTTTTCATCAAGATTTATGTAATCAAACTCAGTAGTCTGGACTTGTACATTCTTTACCGTTACAAATAATTATTGCGCGGATTTAATGAAAGTAACTTTTTTAATAAAATGGATTTAATAATACTATGTCATGTTCAATGAAATTGGAATAAACAGTGACTTGCACACATTACTAAGCTGGATTTATCACATCTTTGAGTTACAGCTGTGCTGCTCTTGTTAAAAAACCAAGCTCCATTCCCATTGAAGCTGACCCACAACAACCAAACTATACAACTCACAACATCCCCAGTCATGACCAGTTTTAACCATTCTCTCAATATGCAAATCCATCATCTCTGCTTTTGGACTCGAATCCATTTCTCATTCTGCAAGAAAAAGGAATAGGAACATCTTCTATTAATAAAATCTTTAGGTGCAGTGGAGCTTCTTTTTATTATTATTATTATTATTTTTTATAAATAAAATGAACTTGTGCTTGCGGTTGATTTACAGTTAAAGATTGTATATATTTATTAGTTGACCATGTAACAAACATGGTCTGGATGATTAGGAAAGATATGATGGCAAGTTTGTTTGACAGTTTGACTGAGGCTTTGGCTTTAGAGAGGAATGGTGAAACAGATCATGTAGCCGATGTTAAATAGTTTTGGGAAAGGCTTTATTCAGTTGTGTTCTACAAGCTGACCTTATGCAATAACAAAAACAATCAAGCCTTTTTATTTATAATCTTGTTTGTGAACAAAGAATTAGTTGAAAGCATGGATTTCGGAAGTTTCCTGTAAACATGAATTTTCCTTGACTGGAACTTAATAAAAACAATAAAAAAAAAAATTCCCTTTTTCATGGATGATTCCGCTTTTTGTCAATTATGGTACATTGAGGCATGAAATGATTGCAGATAAAGAAGTGTGTTGATTAGTCACTAAACCTAAGTAATTGGTCAATTGCTGAATTGTAGGTAGTGATTCTGGGGTCAGATATCAGAACTCCCCAAATGGGCTTACAAGCCCTTTCTAGAGCTCTATCACAAAGGGGCATTGCAAAGAAGATACAGGTGTGCTTCACTTCACAACCGGGATATTATTATCATGAGCATTATTTATCTTCTTTTTTTTCTCCAAATTTTTAGGTGATTGCTAAGGCACGCATACCAATCATAAAATTTGTAGAGAAGAGAAGTGGATTTTCATTTGATATAAGGTATGGCGATTAATTATCTACCATTTCCATGGAATTTAGCTATTCCTAGTTGACTACATGTGAAAATGTTTGCATTGTTGCTGTTTATTAACTTTTATTTTGATAAGAAAAAAGAAATGATAACTCTAAGTTGTGTTTTTTTTGGTAGGTAAGTTACACACACCCCTATTATTACCCCTTAGGGAATTTAAACCCTCAGCCTTCCATTTGGAAGGAGGAGGAAATACCACTTGAGCTAGAGGGTTAGTATGCTAATTCTAGGTTTGTTATTCCTTTTCTTTTTTCCCTTGTTGTATTTTAGGACGTTTCGTTTGGTATTTTGCTATTAGTAATTTTTTCTCTTCATAAGTTCAATAGATTCAAAACTCAAAATTGGTGTGGTTGGATAACAAAACAGAATTTGTGTGGAAGATGTTCTGTCAATAACTTAGTAATATAGATTTAAGATGATTATGTTGTGGTCACTTAAGCTGTCTCTAGTTTGAGTTTTTTCTTTCTTTTTTATATTAATTTTATATAAAAAGTTGCTGTCAGTATATGCTTTGCACTCAGCGAATATCTTTTAGACACATTAATGTTTATAGGTTCAGTTTGAGTATTGCAACAAATGATATCTTGTTTGATATGTAGTTCAGGAAACTGCCTAGGGCCTGCTGCCCAGGCGACCTGCGAGGTTGTTACCTGCGTTGGCCCCAGCATTCTTTCCAACGATTTTTCCCATGATGACATGCATGAAAATAAATATTTACTCATTTGTGTTGTTATATGTTTATTCTTAATTTCAAATTCCTTTTTGTTTGACATGTCATATCTTTGGTCACAGTTTTGATGTGGAAAACGGACCAAAAGCTGCTGAGTTTATACAGGTTTGTTTTGATATCCCCGCTAACTAGACTATTATCTCCTAATTACCATCATGTTTGATATATATGAGTTCTTTCCAAGTGGGTCTTTTAATTTATGGAGATTCATGCATCTCTTTTCAGGATGCCATAAATAAGTGGCCCCCGTTACGTCCATTGTGTTTGATCTTGAAAGTTTTTCTACAACAAAGGGAGCTGAATGAGGTGGGAATATTTACATTTTATTGTAATTAATTTCCCTGAGAACCTGCTCTTCCATCCTGCCTCACTCAATGGTCCTTTAAATTGTGTAGGTCTATTCCGGTGGAATTGGTTCTTTCGCACTCCTTGCAATGCTCATGGCAATGATGAGGGTATCTGGACCGAAAATCTTTTTTAGAATAATAAATTCAATCTGAGCTTGAAATAAACTTGTGTTATATCCAATGCGGTGAACTTTTTACCTTAATGCACATAGTAGACTGCATATTTCATCCATTTTACCGTTCTTATGTGTTCTTATTGCGTCTATTTTCATCAACTTTTATATTTTCCGTATATGACTCCATAACAAAAGCACAAGCATACACAAAATGACAGTTCATCACCCCCTTGTTTTCTTCCCTTCCCTGTTACTCGTTTTGCTGAAATCCGCATTATGTCGTACTTTTATTTTGTACAATGGATTAATTTTTGTTGGTTTTGATCAAAAGCTAATTACATTTATTCTCTAGAATCAACTTAATTTTCTGTGCTTCAAGAGGGCACTTGTACCAACTGCAAATTGATAATATAGGGGTATTTTTCGCACATGAGGGGGTGTGATATGCACTGTAAGCATACTATAGGGGTGTTTTATGCACTTTACCCAAGTACTTTATAGTCTCAAAGAATGATACTACTGATTTTATATTAATAACTTCTGATCGTATCGTTTTTAAAGATATACTTGGTCAGAATTCAATTTAAGTGAGATGTGGCGAAAAAAGGAGTTCTCTCTCTATTCATGTGAAAAGTGAGCAACTCTTCTGTACTATCAAATTTGAGCTTTTTCTTCTTTTTCCACGATCATGTGTGGAGGATCAGGGTGTCCAATTTGGGTTCCTTTGTCGGGTACATATCAGTATCCCATATCATAGCCACGCCATGTCGATACAGGTTCCTTGAAGAACTGCACCCCTTTGTATCAAATGAATGATGATTGAGCTGTGGACCAAAGCTATCAAATAGTTATAAAGAACTGCACCCATTTGAATGGTTATTGGTATGTTGAGCATGTACAGTGACATGCTTAGGGTGAGCTTCCTGAATTATGGTGTTTTGGGGAAAGATGCATTGCTCAGTAGAGTAGAGAAATAATCAGTCTTAGTTTGAAGGTTTAACCAAGTGAAAGTGATTTCTGGGGGGTGTGTCTTTATAATTGAATGATAAAATGAAATTTTCAAAAGCCTTCTGTGAATCTATGACTCATATTTTTGCAGCTGTTTGAGTTACATTCATCTGTTAAACCAAAATCTAATGTGATCAAATTGTTTGTGTCAAATATATGGAGCGAGTGATGGAGAGCGGAGACTACCCTCGTAGAGACTGTAGCCTGGTTGACTCTAAAGTGTTCTTAATTCGATCAATTAGCTTCACGTTATGATGATCTGGAATAATTAATTTTTGCACTGCTTCTAGGAAAATGAAGTCTAATGCTTAAAATTAAGCATAATGTTTAACTGTCTTTCTTTCTTTAGTCTCCTTTTTTCCGTTCCATGACTTGCTGCTTTTGTGATATGATGCATCTGATTATACAGAATCTAAATGACTGCCAAGCTTCTCCAGAATATAACCTGGGAGTCCTTTTGGTACGTTTTTGGCGACTATATTTTGTATGCTTTCACATTTCCTGTCCATTTATTTCTTTGCAGTGATTGGCACTCATCATATGAGCCTATTATTAATTGAGAATCATCTCCAAGTTGATTTTGTGTTAGTCATGATAAAATTAATTGAATCATAGGGATTCCTTTATATTATTGATTTTGGTTTCAATGGTATGAGAATGATTATATGCATATAGATATTTACCAAATATATATGTGTGTGTGTAGATATGAATAATGATTGAATTAGAAATAACAGCATTTTGACCAATCCTTGCAAGCCTGTTTGGGTTTGGAGCCTCTCTTACACCTGCCATGGATGAAGAAAGGCATTAAATGCGAGGTATGTGAGTTTGCCTTTACCTTGGAGGAGACCCCACCTCTTCCTTCATCCATGGCAGGTGTAAGAGAGGCTCCTTTCTCTGCCAAGGTTGGAGGGGGGAGAGGCACGACCCTTTGACGTCCCTTGAGCTTCAGCCACCAAGTCAGTACTCCCCAAGGTCCCATAGGAGTCCCCCCTTTTTCTGAGGTTTGTTCATAGAGAGGAATTCCTCGCCAGTGAAAGGTTTATCCATAGGGACTCCTTGCGAATTAGAGGTTTAACCGTAGGGATGAACTCCTCACCTGATAGAGGTTTATCCTGAGGAAGGAACTCCTTGTTCTATTTGACATCTGGACCACATCATCATAGGCCCCGTTGATGCGCAGATCAGCGCTGACGTGGTCTTTTCCTTATGATATGAGAGGACACCTAAAATCTCATACCTGCAGTCAGTAACAAACTGATTGTATTTTTTATATGCCCAACTATATAAGTTGGAAAATAAATGTATCTGAAACTTGAGGATTTTCACCGTGTGGACGCCGGATGTCCTCGCTTTTTAGGATTGAGACACTTGGTCTCTGATGATTCTGATTTATTCACGTGTTTCTTCTTGTTCTTTGGATTGGTTGTGTGTATTGGTATAATCCCTTGTTTCAGCTCACAAGCATTCAATTTGGGCAGGCCAGTCTCTGAGCATAGACTAGCATTTGTATTCTCTGATGATGCAGCTGAGAAATAAGGCTTTTCTTTGGTGCTGACACTCTGCATGTTTGCTGGTCTCAAAGCTCGATAGGGCCAACATGACCATTGACCTGTGGAAATGTGTCACTTGGCCTAATTTCTTGGGATGTGATACTTATTTTTTTTTAAGCTAGATTTGTTCATCTTGTTAGAGGTTATGTTTTCACTTCAGAGTGCGTCCTTGAGCTTTGTTAAATTATCCTGTACTCTCATCTTTTTTGGTTAATAAAACTCGATCTTATCTACCAGGCCGCCACGGGGACTGGATGATTTTTTTTTTATTTTTTTTACAGTGAAATGAATGATTAAATAATGCTATAAAAGTGATACAGCTAAAAGCAATCTAGGGTTAAAATAGTGTGGTTCAAGTGTACTTTGGGGACGGGAACTATAACTCTACTGTGCTCGGTATCCGCTTGGATATAGCAAGAGAGATAATTCATATGCAATAGAAAATGGACTTGCACAACCCCAAGGGGTTGGCTCAAGTGGGTAAGTCACATGGCCCTGGTGCCTCATGAAGCATCAGATCTAAGGTTCGACTCCTCTTGGGTGCAAACAATTCCTTGGAGGGGATGGAATTGCACAAAAGATCCAATCCTTTCGATAGATCCAAATATAAAAAGTATACGTTGTTTGACTTTTGGTTGGTATGATCATGATTATTATATTTTCAATTTTATTGGTTTGACTTCATTTGTTTATGGGAAAAAAATTATTAATTTATAGACTTCTACTTTCTCAAAGGTGATTTGCTTTTTGATGTTAGGTGAACTTTTTTGATATATATGGACGCAAATTGAACACATCCACTGTCGGTGTGTCTTGCAAAGGATCAGGCACCTTCTTCTTGAAGAGTAGCAAAGGGTAAATTATCGTTTGTAATAAACATATATCCTGTTTTACCTTCTCATTTTATTTAATTCCAATTTTGATCATTGTTCTGTGGTTTTCCTCTTTAGATTTTCAACTAAAGGACGGCAAATTCTTATCTCCATCGAGGACCCACAGGTTACCTTGCAATTTTTGATACGGTTGTGCTTTTTTTATTTCTCTTGAAGAAGAAGGTGAGCCCCAAGCAGGCTCCAAAGTGGTTGAGGTCATGTATGCCCCAATTTTACAATTCATTTAGTTCCTTCAAAGAGCACAATTTCTTTTCTTTAGATGAAGGGCTTGCATTCTGCACCTTGGGGCAGCACATTGGGGTTAGAACAGAATGAATTGCATAACGGGGAACTGGATGACTTGCAGAATGGAATAAAATGTAAATTGGGGAATTGGATGACCAATTGACCCTAGGCCCGTAGAAGATTTTAATATAATCCTCTTTAGCTTATTGACTGGGGATTTCTTGTAATAGGCACCAGAGAACGACATTGGGAAGAGCTCCTTCAATTATTTACAGGTTTGTTTTCCATTATTTCATTGTTCTACTATCTATTGCTTGCTTGCTTCATGTGCATGACTAATTTATGTTGGTTACATAAGGAGCAGGAATGCCTTCACATTTTGTGCTCTTTTGCATTCTTCTATATGTAAGGTTATGATCTAGATATTCTGAAAATTCAATAATTTACCAATATAATAAATTAGAAAGTGTGTGGTGGTGTATTTGGCTAGAGAGGAATAGGAGATATTTTGATGGAAAGGATATGCCTATTTCTTCTCTAATATTCTCTATTGTTTCCACCTTTTTTGTTGGGTTTCAGGGAGAGATTATTGATCTTTAGAGGATTTTGTCGATTTTTTGGCCTCTTTGAAGGCTTAGAGGCTCTTTTTGGCCTTGTGTTGTTCTCTTGGGATGCGTTCCCCTTTTGAGCGCTTTTTATACATTTCTTACTTATCAAAAAAGAAGAAGAAAAGAGGTTAATTAAGGGGCATTCTTTAAATATTTGCTTGATGGTTCTTCTACAGTTACCATAGATACCATCCTGCCATGTCTCCTCAAGCAACATCTGGTGGTGTTACCTTTCACACAGTCAATTATTGAATTGCACCTCCTTTTTTGGTCGGCGGACGGTGGTTGTCACTGCATTATTTTTTTGGGGATACAGTGATCAAGGATTGACTCTGATGATTGCAATAACCTATGAGCACAAAAAATTAAAAAATAAAGAAACAAAGAAACAAATAATATAAGAAAAATGATTGCAGAAGGAGTTCGTCCTTGTGAAGTGTCTGTCTATTGACTTTCTATAGTTGAGTTGCAAGTTGATGAATGTAGCTTCTTATTTGTAACCAAAACCGTGCCACAGGAAGTATGACGATGAGAACTTGAGTTGCTCCTCTTCACATGATGATAAGAACTTGAGTTACTCCTCTTCACCCAATTGCTCTCCTCTCCTTTGTCTTTTTTGCTCAACCATATTTGCCTCCTTTTGGTTAGTAGGTTGTAGAATTAGAGAATAGTCGGGGGACACAGGAGTTTTACAAGCCATTAGAGAACTCTTCTCAGCCCAAAGCCCGAATTATTCACCCATGTTCCATGCCACCTTGGGCCTTGGCATCCTCTAAAGAGGGGATCATTACTTCATGTATCGATACATAGAGACAAAGCGCATGAAGCATCATTTGCTATCTGTTATTTGTTTTTGTTTCCCTTTTTTATTTGATTAGCATGTGCTGTTGTCTATTTTGTATTTGTTTTTGCTTTTTTCCTTTGTCACCCATGTTCCATGCCACCTTGGCATCCTCTAAAGAGGGGATCATTACTTAATGTATTGGACAGAGAGACACAGCGCATGAAGCATCATTTGCTATCTGTTATTTGTTTATGCTTTTTATCCTTTTTCATTTGATTAACATGAGCTGTTATTGTTTCTACAATGTCTTGTAGGAAAAGTACTTTGGACCTATGTTAAACAACATTAAATATCAACAGCCCAATTCTTTCTTTGGGTTGTTGAGGACCTCACTGTGTTTTTTTTTTTTGTTTTTTTTTGTTTTTTTTTTGTTTTGTTTTGTTTTTTTTTTTTTTTTTTTTTTTTGTGTTTTTGGTGGTTGCTGCTGCAGGTTAAATCCGCTTTCGCAATGGCTCTCTCAACATTGACAAATGCAAAGACCATCTTGGGCCTAGGCCCCAACAGGAGCATTCTGGGTACCATAATAAGACCGGATCCAATACTATTGAAACGAAAAGGAGGGTCTAATGGGGATATGACCTTTAGTAACTTGCTCCCTGGAGCAGGAGAGCCATTGCGGCAGCAATACGACGATGAGCAGGATATTTATTGCAACTGGCAATTAAATGATGAAGAAGAACCACTGCCCCGAGGAAATGGGATTGCTGACTATAGTAATGCAGAGTCCTCTAGAAACAAGAGGAAAATGTACACGGAGAAGCATTTTTCTAAGGTGCAAGAAAATGAGGAGGTAGTTGAGGGAAGGCATGAAGAAAGTGAATCAAATAAGAAGCAGCGCATGACGAAGAGACAACGTCGGAGACAAAATCAGAATGGAGGTCACAGCAATGGTTTCAGTCATGTTGGAAATTCATCAGGCCACACGTGTTAAGCATATGTTCATAGGTATACGTATGTGGTGGATTTGCTACAATGCCAGACATTCCACCCAAGTATCTGGTATGGGTTTAATTCCTATATATAATTGTTTATTTGGTCATTGTAAATTATTAGTGAACAATGCTCTCAAGAGAGCCCCTCACCATGTGCTCTCCATTTTAACCAATCAATTGAAAGATGCATTAAATGATTCATTTGAATTTTCATAAATCTCAAAAAAGTGGTTAAATAAATTTGAAGAGCTCGTGACTCTTCTTACGATGGAGCACTCTTAAGAGCATTACTCGGTATTTGTTGTTCATTTTTTAAGCTAGCAACATAATTGTAATGGGATTGGACTGCCAATCCGCTGAGAACTTTGTACTAATTGAATTGCTGAGTAACATCTTGTCATTTGGGTCCAAAATGTTTGGCATCCCCATCTTTACTTTTTTGTTGTATTATGTAATTGTGAACCAGCTGGAGTAAATGATCATTGGAAAGAGAATTTTATTGGTGATCAGGATACTCAACAAAATAAAAAAGTATAGGGACCATGCAATGCTGGCACTTACCTGACTGGTTCAAGCTTGCGAGTTTGAATTGTTTGATAGTTTTGTTTGAATGAGCAGTCAAAAAGTACATTTTCTTGCTTTTGACTTCAATTTTGAGGGGACGAATATAGTCGTCATAAACTTTGTTGCATGGGGATTTTTTCATTCAATTACTACTATGAACTGCACCTGCACCTTCAATTAAGGGTTATTAAGGGTTCTAAATTGGGTGCCAATTTTGCCACATCTGTTGCAAATACAACATTTTAATATTTGCTTTTTGGTTATTAATCTTGCGCGACATTTACTGATGGTCCTTTTGCTAAATATTTGCTACTGATTGTCCTCTTACTAAATATTTGCTTGCAATGACATCTAAACACGTAAGATTCCACACCTATGATGTCACAACTTTTAAGGATAACCTCCCCATCTTCAAAGAAGAGGGGAGGGGTTCCAATCCCGCCGTGGGTCAAAAAGTGTGTGTTTGTTTTTTCATCCAAAAAAATCTTCTTCAAATGACAAATGCAACAGATACTTGAAAAGATTGCTGAATATTTTTATCTTTTCTTGTTAGATAAAACCCACCCAACCAAACTTGCATACGTTCACTGTTCGTTGGATAGTAGCCTACGAAAATCAGTAGTTCTGGTCCTACTTGTGCATTTTTCGCATTACCTTCCCTTTTGGTCAAATAAGTTTCAGAAACCAAATAGGGGAAGGTGGAAGAAGAGGCCATGATTGGCTCAAAAACCAAATTTAGACGGATTCTAGTTTTGTGTTTGCTTTAAATTAGAAGTGGTTGCTCCCAAATTCAACCATAAGATCACTTGTATTATACAAGCTTTTTCCATTTGGCACCAGAGAATGACCCAAATTATTTTGAAATTCTCAATCAACACTTAAGAAAATGGAAGGATAACTCAAAACACCCAATAATGTAATGCCTGTTGGTTTCTCATCTGATAAGCTCAAACACCCATTAATGATGAATGCAGAAGCAAGTACATCATACAAACCTTATAAGATCTACAAAAGTGAGCATGAGCAATCGAGTCAAATTGACGTTAAACCAGACATACGGAGGATGCGACACATCATTCTCACAAAAGAAGAAACAAGTGACTCTAGAAGAGGGGAGCGCGTTGAGATCCATATGCACCTTATCTACTCCACATACAATACATCAAAGTTGACCAGTTTTGATCCCAAAAACCAACAAATCCTCTTCACATAGCAACATCAGGATCCAATCTTCTTTGAATAGCAGCTGCAGCCTATAGATATAAGAAAGATACATTAATGGTTTGACAGAAAATTATTGAAATATCACAAATCGTCTTTATCCTCACCTCAAAGTTGCCAAGCTTGTATTGTAAAGCCATCTCTTCCCTGAGCAGAGCTTGCTCTTTCATTGCTTGAGCCTAGGAATTCAAACGAAAGGATGGATATCAGAAGCACAATTAGCCGCTATGGACTACGGCTCAGAAGAAAATGAACGGTAATAATTAAGATTGATCAAGGAAAACTATACCATTCCACTCTGCATAGAGCGCTTTAATACTTCCACCTGTTCTTCCTTGTGTTTTTCACGTTCTTGCAGCAGTTCTTGCCTGAAATATTAGAACAAAACTATTGGAATTTATGAAATACTAGCCAACTGAGGTTCTTTCAATCAATGAATACAAAGTTAGAAATTGAATTGTATATAAAGCCTCTAGATGGTAGAAAAAGATATATTTGCTGTGTACGTTTAGTAAGTAAGGAGCTTTGTTGATTAGACATATACAATGGGTTTAAAAGGTGAAAAGTGGAGGCAAACTATTTGTCCTCCATAAGGAGCGACTAAGATTCAATACCATCCTCAGCCTGTAAACCCATAATATGACAACATTTCATCGGAATCACTTTCATTGGCTGATTGCTCCAACTCTGTTCCCCGCCAAACTACTCTGATGGACATAGCAACAGCTTTGGGTGGTCTTCGACCAGATAGTGGACCTTGTAGCACACACTTCCTTCCAAAACAATAAGATAATGAGGCACATCTCCTTCATCACATATCTTTAGCTCTATTGATTATGCATTGACTTTTCCGTCTTTCTCCACCATAAAACCATTTCATGCATATATAATATCTCAAACAGATCAAATAACCTTAATTGGAGAGGTAAACCGTTGACCATAAATAGTTTCTCCTTCCAACTCCAAATCCCTAATTACCAGGAATCTATCTCCAGAAAAGCCCGTACCAAGTACCTCTGCCCCTACTTCCGAATCCTAACAGGACCTGGAAAGCAAGAGCAAATCAGGAGCTCCAAAACCCAAACCCTAGTGAACATTCCCCTAGCTCTTGTGGCCCAACTTTCTATTTTAATCTTTAAATCCACCTCACAATCAAATTTACCTTTCAGACATGTTTGAAATTAATCACGTCAGCAGATGCCAACTTGAAGCAAAATCTTACTTCCAATGATCGGACTTTGCACTCACCCGAATTGGGTAGCAGCTGCAGGCCGGCAGACTGCTATTAAGAGCAAAGTTGCCTCATTTACTGGAAAATCCTCTAAAGCTAATAACTACCCCATAAGATACATCAGTGATAAAGATCAATAAACACAACCTCCAAAGCAGCCAAGCCATTCCTTAATTTTCTTCAAACAGTGTCAGTATTATTTTTTTTTTCTTCAATATTTATTAATTTAATTAAGTATAAACATGGATACTCTATAATCTAGGTGAAGTGTATATGTACTTTTTTTTCGGAAGTTAAGTGTATATATACTTCTCATAGATCTGGGTGACCATATATATTTGTTCTTTCTTTCTAAATTTCTGTTTCTTCTGAGAAAGTAAACAGAAGTTTTCAAATCTCAATTTATCTTTGCAGATCTACAATACCTTTAATTGAAAGAAAAATAAAAATTCAAATTCAAATCAACTTCCAATTTTAAATTTGCAATGTTTTCAAGTAGTGGAATTCTCATTATTTCAATTGGTTTGGTAGCGCCTATATTGATCTTTTAGACAATATTATACACTTTAAACATCTTTGGCTTACTTTATTCATCAACTTTTTCATTTTTGGAACTTTGCAATCATAAGCAATACAAATCACAAAAGTTATAAACAAGGTTCTAAGATCAGTAGTTGAAAATAAAATTACAAGAATTCTTCATATAGATGATAGATTCAGATGAGGTAGCTGATTAAATAATGCTACTCGGACAAGGAGAACACAGCATCTCAAATAAACATGGGAAAGTCAAATATAGCCCTTTATTCCATAAGATGGGTGTGCTTTAAAGGGTAAGTTTGATTTTCCAATTCTCTACACAGGAGAGCTTGACTCCTTTGAATAGAAGTATGGTGGTCAAATGACTCAAATCAGTAACTTCATGTACTTCTAGAATCAACATTTGAAATTAACTATTTACCCAGAAATGAAAAAAATTGAGTTGACAGAGGGGAGCACGTTTTAATAAAATAAACAACAAAATGACCACCAGTCAACTAAATGACAATATTCTTGAATGAACTACACATTGCCAATCAATTTCACAATTCTGATTATCCATCGGAGTATTAACAGTTCAAAATTATGATCGGATTTAAAATATATATATTATCATATTAACTTTTAGCATTTGAACAAGACAAAAGGCCAGTGCTACTTGTATAGAACTAGAGCAGAAACAATAAAGCATGGGGATATGGAAGTAATAAAAACTGGGCAAAATGATTATGATGATGCCAGCTTATTTTAACTTCATGATAATCAAAGCAGTGCTACATGCATTAAGACATACCTACGCTGTTCTTCATCGTTAAATACAGTACGTTCCTTCTCCAGAACCTGTTTGAAGCCTTTTTTTATACTCTTTTCGATTTTACGTCTGTGATAAGCATCCAGGTCATAATATCTGCAACCATGAGCAACAAAGTAACCTTGGTCACCTGTAACGCGGCATCAGTTGGAAGAAAGAAACAAATAGATAAAAGGGCTAAAATCTGAAACCCCCCCTGTTGTTTATCGAAATTATCTACTAACTCCCTCGAGTATTAAAAAACCCCCTGATATAACATAAACTATCACATTGTCCCCATTCCGTCACAGAACCGTTAAATGCCAGCAAAATGACAAGAATACCCTTGATAGTATATTAATATTTATTTAAATATAATAATTATAATTGTAATTATAATTATAGTAACTATATATTATAGTATACAATTATAGTAATTATAATTATAGTAACTATATATTATAGTATACAATTATAGTAATTATAATTATAGTAACTATATATTATAGTATACAATTATAGTAATTATAATTATATAAATATAATTATAATTATATTTATATAATTATAATTATATAGTAATTATATATTATAGTATACAATTAGAGTAATTATAATTATAATTATAATTATAGTAATTATAAATATTTATATATAATTACTGTAATTAGTAATTACTAGTATATAGGAATTACATATACACATATATACACACACATATATATAATACATATCCTCCATTATCTGCAAACGAAAAAGCTAGCCAATTGACAATAAATAGCGACATCAACGGCATGACTGGGATTGAACTGGGTTTCCTTGAGACGTCGCTCGGACTGATGGATTTCAACCAGGAAGCTTGAGGCATCGCCGGACTGAGCAATTTGTTAGGTTTCGCCAAGGAGAGCTCACCGGTAAAGCTTGCGATATTTTGACTTATTTTTGTTTACCGGTGTTTCAAACCTCTTTCCAGGAATGCATTGGAGTACTTGAGTTTGCTACAACTACTAACATTATAAACTAGACAATCAGTGGTATGTTATTGAAACAAAAGTTCAAGGTTTGTTGAACCCCTAATTTGTACTTATACTCTTCTAATTAATTTGATGAGGACTGAGGTGATTGGATACGATTGGAGATGACAAATATGATTTTACCTTTTCATTAATTTAAACCTCACCAAAATTAATCACTTCTCTTCTCTTGCAGTCTGCCGGTCTGAAAACTTCTTTGTGTGATGGATTGAATTGTAAGGTAAGTTACAGCTGTAAAAGGGCAGATTTGATGCAGGTCACAGTACTACCTGGTTTGGTCATCGTCATCATTGTGGTTTCATGCATAAAAACTGATGTAGGACAAGAGAGCAGCCTTAAATAGCTAAGAACTCAAAGAATTCAGAGTCTGAAAGTTCAAGAACTAGGGCAGAAATTTGGAGGTTTGATAGTAGAAATGTAGAAAACCAAAGGAGAAGTGGTTGTTAATTAAAATAAACAGAGCTATGGTTCAAAATATTAGTAGAGAAAAAGGATTGAAAACAACAAAAACCTACTGGAATCACACCAACAGGTCCAGGTATCACACCTAGAGAAGGCCTCACCCTCACAAATTGTGAATCACTCACAAAGAAATCTCAAAGATATTTTTATTCATTCCTTGACTCCCTCAGCAAGTTTACATCATACCCTTCTTATAGCAACTTATGACCCTCAGATTACCCCATGATTGAGGTAATCAAAAGTTGACTCTATAGCATAATAAAAAAAATCACCCCGTAATTGAGGTAATCAATATTTGACTCTAGCATAATGAAAGTAATTACTATGGACGGATGTAATTTGATCGAAATTGATGCAAGCTACCATAATTATGCAATTTGACCAAATCCCCCTAATTATGCAAGACTCCAAGTGGAAGCTACCATAATTATGCAATTTGACCAAATCCCCCTAATTATGCAAGACTCCAAATGGACCCATCGTCTAGCATGTGCCAAATTAAGGTTTAAGCCTTAGAACCCTCCTTGCCACGCCTTTTATATACCTTAAAAGGCTGTTGCCACTGTTCTCTATCAAAGATCCATAAGGCTTACGGGATAGAACTGGGTTTCGTCGGGGTGGGTCAAGGTTGCTTAAGACATTGCCGGACTGAACTGGGTTTTGCCAAGGACGGTTTGAGGCGTCGCGGAAATAAAGCAATCTGTTGGGTCTTTGTTTCATCTGGAAACGGAGTGGTGCATCGGACTGAAGCAATCTCTGAAGTTTGGTTGAGGTTGTTTGTTTGGACTCGCGTTGGCCACTACTGAAACACACCGGAAAACATGGAGTGCTGGAAAACATGGAGTGTAGGGGCAGTTTAGTCATTAAGTGGTTAAAAGGATAGTATGGTCATATTCAAATGAAATATTATGCACGTGACAATCATGTGATCTAATCTGTTAGTTTTTGACGGAAAATTAACGAGAGGGGTCATTATGATAGACTTTTTAATACATGGAGGGGTTTTATGATAGTTTCCCTACTTGGGGGGGTTAGTAGATTATTTTTGAAAACAAGAGGGGGGTTTTTAGAATTTAACCCTAGATAAAAAGGAGAGAAACTAAATCCCCACATAAAAGTCTTGACATACAGTGAAATATGTATAAAAGACAACCCCCAATATGACTTGATGACCCCTAACATCATCCAAACAATAACATAATCAGTGAGTTAACAAATATAATTAACAAATATATTTTATAATTAATTTCTACAACAACCAAGCCTTTTCCCAATTATTTGGGGTCGACTACATGAATCCTATGTTTCCATTTAAACCCAAAAAAATATAAAAATATAAAATATAAAAATAGAAATTAAATGACTAAAACGCCCCTGCAATATATATATATATCGAGAGAGAGAGAGAGAGAGAAGGAACACCACCTCACATGCTCTTATAGGTCTTGGTGGTTCTTCAATTGTTGGTGGACTGCTCCAGCAATTTTTCCATCTTTATGCAGGGGAAATAAATGAGACTAATTAAATGACTAAAACACCCCTGCAATACTATCAACTCTCCCTCCCTCCCTCCCTCCCTCTCTCTCTCTTGCATTGTTGGACTGCTCTGGCAATTTTTCCATCTTTACACAGGCGAAACAAATGAGACAGCGAGTGCGGTCTCATTTTATTTTTTATTTTTGATGAGTAGTGAGTGCAGTCTCATTTGGGTATGATCAGATGAGAATGTGCAATATCAAAACTAGAATCAATAGGTACATTGAACTTGATTCTAAACGCAAAGATGGCTAATTCTACATTTTAATCTAACAAACCCGTAAATAGAACTGTTCAAAAGTGTCATCACATTTTTAATTTTAATCCAATATGTACAGAAAAAAATTGATGGCCATTAACTATCATAAAACCTAGGGTGCAAGTTGGGCGGGCTAGCCCAGCCCAACCTGAACCAAACCCAAAATATTTTGGTTTGGGCTCCCAATTTTAGAGCTTTGGGATGGGTTCAGGCTGAACAATGTTCAGCCAAATCCAATTCGGGTTGGTCTCTGGTTAGAACAGTTCTAATCCGAGCCCAACCCGAATTGGGTATTTTATTTTATTTATTTTTTCTCTTTTTTAACCCTAGATCTGTGTTCAGAGACCTTCAAAAAAAAAACAAAAGGGGAAAAAAAAAAAAAACATTGCAGGCAGCCGCCACCCCGCAAATGATCACCGCCGCTAGTACAACAGTGGAGAATATGAGGATGAGGCTTCCGACGACGGTGGAGACTAAGGATGAGATTTCTTACAACGGCGTGGATTTTTAGCCTGGACCCTTTCTCTCTCTAGCCAAACATCTCGTCTTTCACAGCCTGAACCCAGATCTGTCTCCCTCTCTCAGTTGTTCTCTCTCTCTTCCTCTACCTCAAGGATTTCTCTCTCACCCATCCCAAATATAGATGAAAATCTCTCTACTATTAAGGGATAATTACATAGGATATGTGTTTTTCTATTATAATTTCAACAGAATATTGATTAGATTTTTCATGAGTGCTTGTATTAAAAAAATTAATAATTTGTTGTTATAGCTTTTCCTTTATATATATATATATATATATGTATGTGCATATACATACATATTGTGTCAATCAGGTTTTTTTTTTTTTTTTCTCACTGCATTTAATTAGGTAGGAGAATGCTTTTATTTATTGTTTTTCATGCTTTCAGTCGTAGTGTTGGTAAGATGCCAGAGATTGTTAATTTACTCATTAGTAGTGTTTCAAAAAAAAAAAATTCCCGGTAATTTTGTCAATCATAAGTAATACATACAAAAGAGATGTCAAAAAAATTAAAACAGAAAAAAAATGGCAATGGTAGGAAATAGTCCAGCTGGTACAAGCCCTCATTTTTTTTTTGATAAGTAAAAATGTATTAGAAAGACGTTCAAAAGGGGAACGCGTCCCTAATACACAAAAACGAAAGAGCAAAACACAAGCCCTCATTCAAAAAAAAAAAAAACTGTAGCTATCTTTAAAATTAACTTGAAATTAAATTCAAACAGGAAAAGAAAAAAACTGTAGGCTTACAGGGTTGACCCGGACAACCACTCAACCCGAAACTATTCAGGTTGGGTTTCATGGGTCAAGCCCAAACTTGGGTTATCAGAGGCTGAGCCCAGCCCAACCCGAAGCCAGGTTGAGGTCGGGTTCGGGTTGGGCTAAGTTGGGCAGGCCCAAGTTGCACGCCTAATAAAACCTAAGGGACAACATATCAAATCAACCCAAAAGCATATACTCCTAGTCAATGAAGCAAATCCATGGAATTAGTGATAGATGGGTTTGAAGCTTCAGCCCTCTGTTGAATATGGAACCTTTAGCTCTGTTAGTCCTCTTCGACTTCAATGGAATTTATCACCCAGAGACTACATATTTCAAGATTATTAATGTTGTAAGGACAGATACGAATTGGATTTGATTTAATGCGTATATATATGCGTGTGAGTGTGTGTGGGTGGGGTTCTTCAATCTTCTTTTCATATTTTTTTTTTTTTTTGGGAGAATAAGATGAATGCAGAGTGAATTGAGAGAGAGAGAGAGAGAGAGAGAGAGAGGACTGGTGTTTATAGAGAGAGAGAGAACATGGCCCACCCATGTGGGTCTCCTACGCAATTGAGAGAGAGAGAGAGAGAACATAACCCACCCATGTGGGTCTGCCTGCACTTGATTGTTTGAGCTACCTTGGTCATGGAAACACAAATATACACACACCTGCACACACACGCACGCGCACACACACACACATATACATACTTATATATATTAGGTCCTTTGAAATGATGGAGAAGAAATGAAGAAGGATTTGTAGCTTTTCAGAGAGAGATGGAAGATACGGTGGTGGGAGGTGGCAATGGTAGGTGGTGGTGCTTATGAATAGACCCAAAATGGGTTTGCAGAGAGAATAAATGCATTTCTGTATTTTGTAATTTACACTATCTTTTAGAGCAACTAATGTGTTTTTATATGTGTATAGGGCAGTTCAGTCATTACACAAATAAATTTTAACAGATCTAACAACAAGTTGACGGGTCTTGGGCATACGCACCAAACCTAAGGGGAAGACGGTGTAATTAGGCTCATTCTTGCCACCGTGTGTAATTAGAGCAAACCTCATGGGCTGCTAGTTTAATTTACCAAACAAAAAATAATAAATAAATGACTAAGCATGCACACATAATGAATGGAAAAAGTAGCATGATAAAACAGTTCAGAACCTTACTTTTTAGAAGGGAATGTTCCAGTGTTATGGTCCTCCATAAATCTGTAAGAGAGATGAGTATTAGAGAATCTGAAATTACTTTGATAATCTTAACTCTAATGGGGAAAAAGAGAAAACAAAAGGAATTCCCAGTCTACAGTTAGCATATTTTCATAATATCCATGAATGGCCTTTGTGCGCAGCAACTAAAAACAATATACAAATTTATGCATTACTGTTTGAACATCTGCTTCTCTTCCAAGTTCCGCAAACTTTCCAGGTTCACCTATAGAAGAATATCAAAACACTTGTGGTTAGAGTAACAATCTCGAAATCATTATAACAACAGTAAAATTGATTGACAAAGCTGATTTGATTCAAACTATATAATAATCAAGGAAAAATGTGGTTAATCTAGATTGTTACATTGTCGAGACCAAATTTTTATGTCTAATTCAACACATAAAGCTTATAAACTATAAAATGGTTAAAAAAAAAAAAAACAAAAAAAACAAAAAAAAAAAAAACAAAAACAAAAACGTCATATATATAAAATCAGCAAACTTATGGAACAAGAATAGATTCGAGGACAAATGTCCATGTTTTTTGTGATCCCCACAAAATATGTTTAGAGTGCCAGGTAAAAAAGATAGCAAAATGCAACACCTGTTTCACTTCTGCTAGCCATGCAGTGAATTCTGGTCGTTTATTCCTACAAAAAGATCAATCATCGTATAAGGGAGTTGAAAGAATGAATAATTGGAGACACTCGCACAAAATAAATAATAAAATTCAAGGCAATTGCTTCTCCTAGATCCCAACCACATCAATACAGGATTCTAAGATATGATTATTTTTTGTAAAAAATTAGAATTAATAACTAATTCTCGAAAAAAAAATTTACCATAAAAGATATAATATTTTTAACTAGAGAACAACAAGTCTACCATATCTCTTGTTCTTTCCAAATCAGCTCCTAATTGGGTCACCCAACACACCCAAATCTGCAACAGCCATACATCGACTATAAAGATTATGAAGTAATGTAACAGATACAAAACACACAGGGTATCTCAAAGTCATACTTGATTTAAAACTGAATTGGAACTTTATTTTAATCTAAGTCAACCTACAAAACCTGCTGTACAAAAGGCTCTAAGCCATCTTACTTGAGATATGCACCCGTTTAACATCTGAAGCTCTAAAACCGCAACTGCTCTCCTATTGGGGAAGCTAAAAATACCACTCAAGCAAACAACCAGTGATAACTAAACACTTCCGGATCACCAACTATACCCAACTCAACTCATTCAATAAGCCATGTCCCAACCATTTGGGATTAGCTATATGAATCATGTTTCACCATCTTCCTCTATCTAGTAAACTAGAGCCATAATTTCAACAAAAAAACATGTTTGACACTTGAACACGCACTAGCACCTAATAAGAGTATCCAAGTCCATGTAACGTCTCATATGCCGAATTCCCACAAGATGCAAATACCGCCTCCTCTCTCTCTCTCTCTCTCTACACACACACACACCCCGCATATCAATATATTAACATTTTGATTTTATAGATGAAGCATGCAAACTATGATCCTAGAAATTAGGGTTCTTCATTAAAAAGGCATATAGTGAGGTATGTTGCTTAATTTTACAATATGGTATAATAATTTATGATTTTGAGAAATGGTCTATGTCACGACTAATTTACAACCTAGCTACACCGAACCATCTCAGCCCATGCTTAAGGCTCTCATGAAGTTAAAATCAGGCTTAAGTAGCTTACTGAGCCTGAGCAAGTCATGCCAGAGGCCTAAAATTTTGGTTTAGCCCTGCACTGACCTTAGCCTCACCCATCTTACTAGAGTTGCAGCCATATCCTAGATGCAAAAGCAAAGCTATCAGAACTTAACCAGACATTGACGCAGGTTGCAATTCAACCAGTTTGACAGAAATTCAACTAGCTCACCCATAGTTCACAGGCAAATTAAAATATGTAAGTTATCAAACGTTGTTCAAACAAGTGCTGGCCACTTGGCTAGGGAATACTACACATTATTGAAGGTTTAACTCTCCCCACCCTCATGTCTCAAGGTGTTTTTTTATTTGTACTCCCTCCTTCCCATAAAAAGTGTCCACCTTTCCATCTTCTTTTTTTTTTTTTTTTTTTTTTTTTAAGATTTCATAAAAGACACTCAAGAGGGGAGCGCGGAGAATACACAAAACGCCAAAGGCGACATTTAAAGCTTTAAGCTATCCACAAAATCTACAAGATCCCCCAAAGATGTACAATTCCGCCTGTTAACCCAAAAAAATAAAGTGTGCAGTATTATACTGTATTATTTAGAGACAAAATAGGGGTCGCCTCACCCTCAAATGATCTCCTATTTCTCTCACACCACAAACCCCACCATAAACAAAAGGGAGTGACCCTCCAAACAGCCTTGGCTCAGCTCTCCACTAGACACCCTTTCCAAGCCTCGATCATATCCACAGTCGTTCTTGGGAACACCCAAGACATGGCAAATGCAACCAAAAGCATAGACCAAACATCCCTTGCCAATGGGCAATGAAGAAGAAGGTGATTCATTGTTTCCTCTGTCTTCTTGCACATACAACACTGTCAACACCAGTTGACCACAATTTGCCTTCTCTTCCTAAGGTTGTCAAGGGTGAGGAAGCTACCGAGGGCAGCACACCAAGCAAAGAAAGCCACCTTCAAAGGAGCATTCAACCTCCAAATTGCCTTCCAGGAGAAAGGAGGACCCAAGGTCACCGTCAAGCTGTGGTAGAAATCCCTAACCTCAAAGACCCCTCTTGGCACGCCCACCCACACCATCTCATCCATCCATCCCCACACCCTCCACTAACTGACTGTAGAGCAAGGCTAAAAATTCAACCACCTCCATAAGCTCCCAATCATGGAACTCTCTACATAATTGCACGTCCCAAGTCAACCTCCCGTTATTGAGACGATAACAGTTGGAAACCAGGGCATGAGGATGTAAGGAGATCCTGAAGGGCCACGGGAATCTACGAGCTAGCACAAAATCCCCACACCAACGATCCTTTCCATCTTTGGTTGTCCCAATTCAAAATCCAATGTACTATATTTTTAATATTCCTAATTTACCCTCCTTGCCTTGAAGTTATAAAAGCAATAAAGTTTATATGGACCCACCATAGAAGGGTATATTTAGAAATTCATTCCCTACCACTATAATAAAAAAAATTAAAAAATACACTCTTACAAAGTTAGGTTCCCAAAAGTGATACTTTGTGGGATTGAGGTAGTATTAACTTAAGGGCCAGTGTGATATGTGAATTGGACCAGTACACTAACCTGGTTGACAGTTCCACCATTTTGGTCCATCTTTAGTGACAATAAGCAAAGAACAGAAATCGACCACACACCATACTGCTCTAGCCAATAGTTTTCTACTTGAATTTGTGGAGGCCAATGCTACTGAGACGAACATTACAATAGGGATAAGACCCTAGTAATAGAGAAAGACCATTTCGACATCCCTAAACATACCTCTTGATAAGGTAAGAGCAACCTTAATTCACAAAAGAGTCCTTTGTTTAACGTGTGCCAGAAAATTACTGAAAAGAGACACACTAAAAATATTCAGTTTGTTTTGCAGGAAATATGATACTTTACACTGAAATGTTTCTTCTAAATGTTGAATCCTGGTCAAAACTATGAGGTTCTATATTGAGAACTTGACACCAACAATATCACCTTTTCACTCATAATTATCACCAACCATTTGGTGTATTTGAGACGCATGAAAGCTTACATGAAGTGACTAATGCACATACACTGCCCCATTCAGCTAATAAATATCTTTTCAACACACCAATTTAAAGAACCAAATTAACATTTTCCTATTTACAAGGAAACTTGCAGATGCCTTGATAGATTAGTGCCTCCGGTGGATTTTGGGAGTGTTGGGCTTCGACTCTTTGCACCTATTACCCTTCTTGCCTTGTAAAAAAAATAATAATAATAAATTACAAGGGAACTTCAAGTCCAATTCTTACCCATTTAGCCAAATGCTATTGTTTGTTCACGCAGCATTCGTACTCAAGCAACGATTGACAAAGAGAGATTCTAACCACCACTTAACATAAAATTTCAACATGATATTCACCATTTGAAATAAAATTTTTACAAGAGTTCTAAATCAATATATTATTTCATCAGAAACATAGAAATATAAATTGGCAAATAAACGGAACCTTCATATAATTCCTAGACCTTTGAAAACACATAGCACCCGAAACCAAACCGTAAATCATGAAGGAGAAAAAACAATGAATGTCCAATCGTATCATCTTAATTTACTTTCAGTACACATGAAATGCCTAAAACACTGCTTGCTCTTCCAGAAGTATGATTTATCTATTTTGTCCAATATAAGAAAAAAATTCCACTCGGGCTTAGTTGAGGGAACGTTTTTGTATTTGCATGTCTAAAATAATCAAAGAAGTTCTAAATTCTACTCGTTTGCGTTCAACATTTTTCTCAATAAGCAAACACAATCCCTAATTTTAATAAAATAGAACTATAGATTCATAAAAGCCCTTACCACATATCAGTCTCTCTGATAATCCCGTACTTCCCCCAAGAATCCGTGACGGCGCCCTTCTTGCCCTTATCTTTCTCTCTCTTCTTATCCTTCTTTTTCTTCTTCTTTTTCTCTTCTCCTACCTCCTTCTTCCTCCTCCTCTTCTTCTCTCTCTCTTTCTCTTTCTCTCTCTTCCGCTTCCGCCGGCTCGCCCTCTCTCTCTCCTCTCTCCTCCTCCTCTCCCTCCTCTTCCTCCGCTTCCTCTCCTCCTCGCTCTCACTCTCCTCCGACGAATACTCCGAACTCTCTGAATCCGAATCCGAATAATCATCGCCAGAGGAAGACGAATACGAATCATTGTCATCATCGCTGTATTTGCTTCGGGATTTTCTCTTCGAGCTTCTACTTCTCTTCTTACTACTTCTACTTCGAGCGCCTTCTTCTTCGGATCCTCTCGAGCCATCTTCGGGTTCGGACTGGGATTTGGAACCATCTTCTTCTTCTACTAATTTCCTTTTGCCCTTAGATGAAGCTCCATTCGCTGCTTGTTTTTCTTCTTCTGGAGTTCTGTTTCGGTGTTTCGCCATTTTTGGAGGTTTTTGAAGTGGCGAAGGGAAGAGTCGAGATCGATGGAACGGGGATGTAAGGAAATGCGATGGGACTGTTGGTCTTAAGTAGGGGCTAGGTACGCCAATGCTAGTTTTTGGTTCTAGGGAAAATTAGGAAGAGAGATTACCTGGGAGGTGCAATTTGGGATCAAACTAACGGGCGCAACTAATGGGCCTTTGTCTCAATGTATAACCTCCTTATCTTCGAAGGGGAGGGAAGGGTTAGAGTTGTGGCGTGGGCAAAAGAGAGTCTGTGTTTATTTTACTATCCAAAAAAAAAACCTTATGTTGGAAAATTCGAACTCATCTAATTTTTTGCAAGGTGGGATAATTATTTTTATAATTAGGGTTGGCAAAAGTTATTAAAGTTGGGTTAGGGTTGAGAGGATAGCCATCCGAGCTTAAATTTTAATTTATTTTAAATACATTATATTAAAAAAAATTTTGGTTAAATCTTAATTTATTGTATGTCAATATTTGGGGATAATTAAATTTTTAAGAATTTGTTAGTTATTTATTAAAGTTTTTAAATTTTTTTTGTTTAAAAGTAATTTAATTTAAAACTAATTCAAGGTCACATTAAATTTTCAGCGTGAAAATTGATCATATGGGTAAACAGATCGGAATTAACTCGACTTTCTAACTAGAAATCTAAACTCAAGTTGCAAATCCGAGTTTAAAAGTAGAAATATGGGTTGGGCTTAAGTTGAATACTTAGAGTTGAAGGTCGGATTAGGGTTGGAATTGGATTGAAAATTTCATAAATAGAATTGCGCTTAAACTATACTCCCAACCCACTCGAGTTACAGCCCAATTTTGGTTTTTTGTCTTTTCTTCTTAGGTTGCTTTGAGTTGAAATTTTCAATCGAACTTTAATTAAAATTAGGGTTAGAATTGGGTTAAACATTTCATATATTGGATTGGGCTCAAACTACACCCCCAATCCACTCGAGTTATAACCCTAATTTGATTTTTTGTCTTTTCTTCTTAGGTTGCTTGGAGATGAATTTCAAGTATAAAAGTGCTTTACAAAATGTATTACCAAACGCATAATATGATTTTTACTGATAACAATTTTGTAACAGCTCTACTATTAAAATTGATTTCATCATTCTAACAGCAATTCCAAATGGACTTTTAGAGTGGTTATGGAGCAGTGAAATGGTTTTATGATAGTGATAAGGCTTGGCTATCCATCCAGTTTATAATAATAAATTAAAATGCTGCCTTTATAATTTATTTTATATTAAAAAAAATACTAAGTATGGCTTAAGCATTAGGTCGAGTAACCAGAAAGGAAAAGAAAAAAATATATATTTAAACTTTTGGAAGTTTGGTTAGAAGAAAAGTGTAAGTTTGGAGGAAAGTACGATTCCAAAATTTTCCTCAAAATTTTTTGTGCAAAAAAACACACGAAAATTCACTTTCTCACTCGGTTTGGTTAGATGTAAATAATAAGAAAGAAAAAGAAATGGAAAATGAAAAGAAAAGTGAAGTGAATGAAAAGAAAAGTGATTTTCTAGTATGTATTTAGTGAGGATGAAAATTTTTAAAGAAAATTGTAAGAAAATATCATATTATAGTTTGGATACCTAAATTCCCCTTATTTTATAAAATAATAAAGAATTAGTAATAAAATATATTTAAAAAGTGATAAAATTTTAAATTAATTTAGACCTTTTGGATTACTATTATTCATATATGATGAAAAATAACTAAAAATGGAAGTCAAGTCAATTAAAAATTTATCAATGATAAAGTTGTTAGGGGAAAATAAAATTTCTCCATTTTTTGTGAAGGAAACATTTTGGAGAAAATAAAGGGTTACAACAATCATAATTTTCGACAACTTTTCCTTTTCTATTTAACCAAACTATAAAAAGATTTTAAAATTTTCTATTTCCTTTATTTTCCCGTTGATTCAATCTAACCAAACGAAGCCATATTAGTTGTGCATTTTGTATTTTACTTTCCTATTATACCCATATTAGTTGTCTATCTTTTTCTTTACTTTATTGCATAGACTTTCTTGAAAATTGAGAGTTTTTTTCTTTTGTAAATTACTTTTTTATACAATCATAGATTACTAATTTAATTGTTTGTATTTTTTGTATGTGTGCATCCAAAATTAATTAATTTTTTTCTTTTATTATTGATTTTTTTTTTTTTGAATGTCTAAAATAAGTAAGATATTTTTTATTTTATATAATTGATAATGATTAAGAGTTATTATATATATACATAACTATTTGTTGATATCATGAGTTTTAGGTGAAAAAAAAAAAAACAAGTGTTAGGTGGAAACTAGTCTACATTATTTAACACAATTTGTTCCATATCTAACATCAAACATTATCTTAAAATAAATAATTGATGATTCTTAAGTAGTCTATATAATTTGTCCATGACTTTTAATTAGTATCCAAGTACATCATTTATAAATAAATAATAAATAATAAAAATAAAACTAACATAAAAGAGAAAACAAATACTTCTTAAAGTTTATTTTTCTTACCTTAATTAAAAGATAAAAGATCGAGAATTCAAGTTGACAAGTGAATATAGAGAGAAAGAGGAGAAAGCAAAAAAATTATATTACGATATCACATACTATTCTATTCCATATTTCATTGTTTCCTTCCTAAAATAAATAATTAAATATAAATAATATTCATCTAACATAAATTTATTTATTTTTTTACTATTTAAAATTATAAGGGTATTTTCGATAAGTAGAATCATTTTCTTTTCCTTTTCATACTATCAAAACTAACAAAATAATTATTTTTCCCAACGTTTAAAAAAAAAATTCTGCTAACCAAATGCATAATGAAAACTTAATTTTCCTTTATTTCACTTTCACTTTCACTTTCTATAAAATTTTCTTTCTAACCAAACCCGATCTAGATATACATATATATATATATTTTTTGTATTATTTTTATTTAAAAACCTTTAAGTATTATGATATTTTTGTGATAATATTAAATCTCAAGTTCTAGAGAATTTTATCTTATATTTATCTCAAAAGAAATTTTTTCTATAGTAGAAAATTTATTTAATTACTTGCCTTTATTAAATTCTCAATACAATTATAAATAGAACGATACTCCAGTCAAGTCCAACTCAAATTGGATCTAATGTAGTACAATAAAATTGAAATACATTGTCTAATTTTTACTTTTGAATATATTTTAAATCATAAATATTATTTTTGAACATTTATTTTAAATCTATTAAATTACATCAACAGGTTAAATGAAATCATCTACCCTGATTTGGACCGACCACTCTCATAACCGTCCCTGCTCTACTACACGGGATAAGGCTGGGTTCCCCCTAAATCACCCAGTTGTCAAACATGAGTTCTATTTGACTTTTTTTATTTTTAAAACAAAAATATTGGTGTTATTACTATTTGGTTAACTACACTCCAAATCAATTAATCGAGTTGCAACAAACTCCAGGCTTTTAGTCCTTAACTCATCATATATAAATGAGAATCAGAATTGACAAATTAGACTATCAACCTTCTTTTAAAAAAAAATTAATTTTAACTAATCTGTTTTAATTGGGAAAGAACCATTAAGAACAAATGATCAATATTTATTTCCTTAGTTTGCGATGTTCACCGTCTTTTGGTCAAATTCATCATTTCAAAATTATGTTTTTCAATCTTAGAAGCCTATTGAAAATTTTGAATTTTAGTTGATGACCAAAACAAAACTCTGACTATTCTGATTTGTGAAGATTGTTGAATTTTGGGTTTGTTTTTATTTTTGTTATGTTATTAGTGTTTTTAATTATAAATACATGTATTGCTGAGCAAAATAGTCATTGATTAATAATATTAGTATTAATGAGTCAAAATTATTTATTGTTCATTTGAGAATGTTCAAAACGTACCTACTGAAGTAAATATATGCTACTTAGACTTATTATCTCCAGTGAAATAGTAAAACATGTTTAGGATATACTTTATAAAAAGATTGGAATATTTAGCAAATATTTCATTTTTTTTTTTGTAAAGTACACCCCGAACTACACGAAACAAATTATATTGTTCATAGGAGGAGATTTTCTTCCACTTAGACTCCGAAATATATTTATTTTGATAATTAAGTAAATATGTGTTATGTACATATTATAGCACATGTATACTGGCGGAATACGCATCAAGGTTATAATCTCATTAATTATCTCTAAAAAATAGAAAATTGTAACTGGATTAATTTAGTTGAAATATTTGGTCATTTAGAGCTTGATCCATGGTTTAACATCATATCTTTATATATATTCAGCTTGCCGGTCAAACTTGGAAGGTTAATTTATTCAATTAAAACATAAAAGAAATTGATCGAACACCATATATATTAGCAGCAGCCCGTGATTAGCACTCAAAATATTCGTTGATCTACATAGATAGAAAATAACTTGATCCTTAATCAAGCATCAACTTAATTTATTCATAATGTGATATTAACTTATTATTACTCCTTTTTACTCCTAATTAAGAGTAATTAGGAGCCATATGAATCACAAAAAGTGTCGTTAAACAACCACAATTAAAAGAAAGGTATAACGACGCCCATAAATGGCATTATTACCCAAATTACATAATTAAAGAATACGTAAAATTTAGATGACATACTAGCTATATATATATATATGTCCTTGAACCATCAAAAAATGCTTGTTCACGGACATGGTTGTGTCTCTATAATGGTGCTATAAGACTAAGAGAACTGGTTTTGTGAGGCAAAAGTCTGTCCGAAATTCCATGATGATGGAACCACATTGAAAAATTCTAGGGTTTTTCCATCAACCAAAGTGATTTTGAAAGACAGGTTCTGGCTTCGAAGGTCGATGCTGCTTTGCCAATTTGCACCCCAGTTTCTGTGCATGGGAACCCATGTTCTTGTTTTCGAGCCCCTAATCCATGCAGCTTTCACGTCACCGCTACCACCCACATTAGATATCATCACCATATTGAAATTTGATTCTCCCTTCAAGGTAAAATGAACTCCACCTCTCCTTCTACATGAAACCCTTCAATTCAAAGCATACAAATACTTACATAATCAGTACTATATATTATACAATATGAGGTGCGCTACGCACAATCACGACTGTGCAAGCATAACCCTTGAATTTTGTTGGATTAGCGCATAGATTTAAGGATTGTGATTGTGCAATCGCGACTGATTTGACATAACCAATACCTACAATAGTAGGTGGTTTTGTGTTACAATATTGTGTTTGATAGGTCCAAGTATATATTATTCTTGTTGGACAAAAATACTAATTTTTTGAAAAAAAATGAAGTTTATCAAAATACTAACATGAATATAGAAAAACATTATTCATTGTCTAAACTACTTTTATTATTTTTATGTACCACTTTTGTGTAAGAAGTACCACTCTTATGTGCATATGTACCACTTTTATATAAGAAAATACCATTTTTTGTATAAACCATTACACAAAAAATAAAATAAAATAAAAAATTGGTATATACCTACCTACATATGTATAAAAGTGATACGTCTGTACACAAAAATAGTACTTGCATGCAAAAAAGTGATATATAAAATTAATATTAAGGATAGTTTAGACAAATGAACATCATTTTTTCATGTCGTCAATTTCATTTTTGCCCAAATATAGTGACTCCATCAAATAATATAAATGAGTCCATAATACAATGTATTCATAATAATCCCTATAAATTAACATGTAAAACAATGTTCACAATCTCTTTCTTTGTATCATATTACCTTCTGATGAGTACGGGGATTATGCCTTCGTTGCCTTGTCGTGCAATGCGGAGGAATGCGGGCATGGACATGTCGAAGTGCTGTCGAGGGGGATCGCACCACCCTTCATTGTTGTTGGGCGGGCAGAAGTTGGTGGCAGTAACAGTGACAACGGCGCGTCGGAGACACCACTTAGGCTCGAGCCTGTAGTTGCACCTCACTTGGTAGCAAGCACCACATGCCTCTCCACCTCTGAAGAGCACACCACTCACCGCTGCTGTATTTGTTCCAAATCCAGCGTGGAAAGTGTTATCATAACCACAAGCTCCTCCTGTAATTAATAACATCAACATATATATATATATACACACACACACACACACATGTTAATACATATATCCAAGAGGAAGAATAAAAAATTGAAATGGGGAATTAAAACGAAACTCAATTGTCATTATGCCGTGGATCTCCTTCGACCTTTTCATGATATCCCATGACTCTTGTAGTATGTCATGAGAAAAACAGATTCAAAGAAAGTACAGAAATTCCCATGACTCTTGTACTTGTAGCAAATATTAATACTAAAACTTGGGTACCTAATAAAATAATTAAGTGCACATCTACTAATTAATTTACTTAAAAAATATATATATCTTTTTGTAAAATCTTTAACCTTCATTTTGGTATATAAGTCATTGTCTATGTACATGAGAAATTATTAGATAATTCAAAATTCTAGTGGATCTCAAGTTGTCACGCAACCAAACATAGAGTAGGATCATTCTTCAACATACACCAAAAAAAAATACTGGGGATCGAAATGGAACACGTATCAAAGAGGGACTCAAACCAAGAATATATGGTAAGTTGGATCAGTTGATTGCACCAGCTAGTTTAATTAGCACATAATAAAACTTAATTACGTACGTACCAAGGGAAGAGGGACTCTGATTGGCTCCATAGAAAGTAGCATGACCGTTAAACCAACCGTTAACTTGACCATTAATCCCCTCAAAAACCACACCCATAAACAAAACAGAAGATATAAAGAGAATTATACTAGTCTCCATATCTTATCAATCTATATAGTCTCACTAATTAAACAAACTTGTAAGTTACTCAAAATCTCCAAGGAAATGCTTCCATTATATAGACTGTATATACGCGGTTGACGGTGATTATATATATATATATAAATAGAATAGAATAAAATGGTTATCAGTTTTTGTAAAACGCGTTTTTTCACGTCCCTTAGGGTACGGAATAGTACGTATGCTTGTCCTGAGACAATGAGAGCTGGGCATGTGATGGATAGTGCCCTATTTCCATATGAAGTCACCTGTCGGTGATTCTCTGTCCAGATCAATGAACGCCAAGTATGATTTGATTCCAAATTCATTTTTATTAGGTATATATAATAGATATTTAAGTAATGCTATTAAGTTTTCAATTAGTTCCAGACATTACTTAAGGTATAAATTCGACGATTCAATCCAATTCGAGTCCATTTGATTATAAGGTAGAATGTGATCGAATTTGCAATTATGTAATGGTTGTGGGCCATACTTGAGATGCGAAGGACAGGAGAGAGGAAAACAACAACCTAAGCACATGTTTTTTTTGTGCGCTAGTGCTTATTTTAATTTACAATACAAATATAAAATAAATATATAATGAAACAAGCCTGCTGAACGTTCAAAAATCTGAATACCTGTTTTTTGAGTTTATACAATTATTTGTGAGAAAGAGATTTTACCTGTAACATGAAATATTTGCTTCTAATGAGCCATTTTGACATGCACCATGTAATGGGGTAAAACAACACATGGATTAACACTCCCTTGTCCACCTCACTTACAATGAAAGGAAACCACTTACTAAAAAAAGTGAGTCTAATATCTTCTCAAATGAAAAGTGCAAATGAATATTTATGTATGTAATAAAAATAATAATAATAATAATAATTCTACGGGTAACTGTACAATTTCTCAAGTGAATATCATGTATGGAGTGGCTTGAGACACCGGAGAAGAGATTAACGTTACTAAAATGGGATTGAATTGGGATTGGCTCTAATGGTAGTTAGTGGGTTTAGTTGTTGGACAATTTGTGTCTAAATGGAGTAATGGAGTAATGCCATTTTTTTGGTTCTGGCCCAATGGCCTTTTTAGGTTGTTTATGGACCTGGTAAAGTTTACTAACATTAATACATTGCTCAACCCTTGGGAATATATATATATATGTATATATCATGTATGGGTCCCACTCGTGCAGTATGAGGGTAAGGAGATTGGGGCAGGAATCCTCTCCTGTTCCTGTCCCGTCGGTTCTGATCTGTGGCCCAGATAGCGCCACGTCACTAAAAAAATTTGGCGCCGAAAAAGTTACCCTTAGTGATTACTTTCTGTATTTGTAGTATATATGTTAGTGTATGTATATATTATATTGTATATATATTTGTATATATTAAATATTTGGAGGAATTTACTGAAATATCCTTCACATTAAAAAATTTTCCAAATTACCCTTCATTTTCTAGGTCGAAAGGAGAAGGACGAAGATTCGAAGAAGAGGCGCTAAATTTGTTTTGGAAATTCCAATTTGCTGCTTAAATTTGAGTTTCAATACGTATGTGTGTGTGTATTTTTCGTATATGTCTCTGTGTGTATACCTGTTTTTACCTAAAGTTCTGTTTGGCCTTTTTTACCACCGCTACAGTGCTTAAAGAGTGGAAACCGGAAAGAACAGATTCTCCTGTTCCACAGGAGAGGATTCTGGTCCGAGGAGATTGGTTCCCTTGTACCTTCTCATTGCTCACAAAGATAATACCACGAGGACCACACTAAAAGTCTAAAACAGAGGTGGCAGACCCCAATCTGCTGCAAGTCTCCTAAGCCCATCTAAATCCTCTGTTTTTGAAAGAGAAGCCTTCGGACTCGATCAAATATAACATTTTTCAATTCTGGTTAGACTTTTTGCAAAAAATATCTTGTTGGACTCAATCAATTATACTATAAAATTTTTCCTCATAATTAAAATATATACACTATATCTATATTATTATTAAAAGTATAAAATGTTTCAGTAGTTTAATATTTATTTATTAATATAAAAAATATTTATTAATTAATATAAAACGAGTATTTAAAAGAGTTTCTATAAAACTCTAACATAAATTATTTATTTATTATGAGTTTTTATTATAAATAATTTAGCCTTTCTAATTAGACAAGAAAATATATAAAAAGAAAGGGTAAAGTACAAAGACACTCCCTCAGGTTTGAGGAAAGGACAAACAGAGGAAAGTTGGCTTGTTTTTGGACAAACACACCCCCTTGTGAAATTTGCCCTCCAAACAGAGCCTTAAATCAAGTGAAAAGTCCATTTTACCCTTCACTATTTTATTAAATTTAATTATAAAATATTTAAAACTTAAATGGCCAAAATACCCTTTTCATATATACTTATATATATATATATATATATACAAACACTAACAACCAGTCACCACTGCCCTAATCTCCACCAACCCCCAACCTCCATAATCACCACCCACTAAAGAAGACGTCGAAAAGGAGCTTTGCCACTGCCACCTCCTCGACCTCGCCGGAGCTCAGCCTCGGTTCGGGCGGCGAACTCGGCCTCGGACAAGCGGGGTTTGACCGGGATTGACAGAGACGTTCCCCACACCGGTGTCTTTGATTCTTGACAACGGTAGAGAGTTGATGTTTGAGCTTGCAGGGAAGATTTGAGAATGAGATTGGTGCCGCCGCCACCACCACCCTCTTCCCCTCTCTCTCTATACACACGCGCACACACACACACACATATATCACTCCCTCATCTGTGCACATTACCATCCCCAATTCTCATCTTTGCACGGAAAGGGCTCTAATTGGACTCAAAACGGACGGCAGAGGTGATGTCCACTTCAGCCTCCTCGGCCTTGCAGGTGACGGTCGCCGGACTGTGCTCATCTGAACCTTGTCGTCATTGGAGCTTGGTCCTCGTCGGATTGTTTCTGCTCGTCGGTCTCTTATTGCTCGGTTTCTAAACTTTGCCACACTGTTCAGTCCGTGGCCGCATCTTCATCAGAGCTTAGTCCTCGCCGGCAATTTCAGGGTTTCCCCGATGCTTCTGGGTTTCAACGCCACTGTCGCAGTCATCGCCGCCACCCCCACTGTCGCAGCCATCACCACAATCTCTCTCATATCTTCTTCCTCTCTCTCCTCTTCACCTCATCTCTTCAACTATGGCCGCCCCCTCTCTTCCCCTTCTCTCTACCCCACCACCGCGGCCACAACCACCATCCGTCTGATCTCCCTTCTCTCTCCTCTGGTGAACTGTATAACATACACAGGCGGGTTTGGGTTCGGGTTTGGTTTCGGGTTTGGGTTTAATCAAAGGGTATTTAAGTCAATTAAAATGTTAATTTTATTTGAAAGGGTAATAAGGTCAATTAACCATCTTCAGGGTTTCTTTGTTCATTTTTCAAACTTGAAGAGGTGTCATTGTCCAAAAACAGGCTAACTTTCCTCTGCTTGTCCTTTTCCTAAACCTCAGGGGGTGTCAATGTACTTTACCCAAAAAGAAATATATACTTCTTAGTAGATGAATAAAATATTCAATAATTGTATTCATTGACTTGTTGAATATTATTCATTATTAAAATAAGTATAAGTGAATTGTAATAATAAAAAATAATAGTCTTGATTTTGATATTGTTTTAACTGAAAATACACCTATCAATAATTGAATTCCTATTGAAAAGTTTAAATAATTATTATTATATTTATCTCTCTTACCTTGTGTCAATTTTATGTTCATTGATCATTTTAGAATTTTGTTAATTATTTTAATTAGACAAGAAAATATATGAAGAAAATAAATAATTTAGTCTCTCTAATTAGACAAGAAAATATATAAAAAAAGAAATACATACGTCTTAGTACATAAATAAAATATTCAATAATTATATTCATGGACTTGTTGAATGTTATTCATTACTAAAATATGTATAAGTGAATTGTAATAATAATAATAATAAAAAAATAGTCTTTGATTTTGATATTGTTTTAGGAGTTTGAAAATACACATCAATAATTGAATTCCTATTAAAAAGTTTAATTAATAATTATTATATTTATCTCTTTTACCTTGTCAATTTTATGTTCATCAATCCTTTTAAAATTTTGCTAATTATGTTTTATTTTGTTAAATATTAATTTTAAATTGCATTTTACTCACGTACCATTGTACTAGTGTGTGTATATATATATATATATATATATTGAAGATGAAATATTGTTTCTTTACTCTGTGCCAACTCTAGATGCCACGAGTTTCTTTCTGGCTAATAAAGCCACAAGTATGCTCACCCTAATTTGAACCCATAATTGCCATCCTCTTCATGTTTTTTTATCTTCTTTGAACTTTTCTCACCATGATAAAAGCTAGCAAAGACAGAGAAAAAGAAAATGAAATGATGGGCCATAATAAGAAAAGCATCGTATGAAAATTACAAAGAAACTTCCAACTTTATTCCATTCCTTCAACAACAATCATCCATTAATAGAGTGATAGAGTGGGAGGAAGAATAAGTTAAAGGTTACCAGACAATAAAAAAACTACCCAATCAGCCATCAAATGGTGCAAAAATAAAGCATAATCATTAGGGACCATAGGATATTATTAGTTCTTTAAACACTAGTGTGGAAGAATAGTGCTCGTCAAATTGTATGAGAGAATATATACATATATATATATATATATATATAATAGATCATCTTCTGATCAGAAAAATCTCTCTATTTATAACTATTTTGAACTCTCAACCGTCCGTTGTGACCATTTTCAAAGTAGAAGATCAGCCTAACTTTATTCCCCTGGATCATGATGGTCATCCATTAGAAAACCTCTGGTATTCTTGAAAGGAGGGAAAAAAAAATAAAATAAAATAAAAATTAAGGACCTTAAAGAAAAGTTAAAAAGCAATGGAAAAAATAAAGAGGATGTGAGACCATGAACGATTTGCTTTACCATCACATAAAGCCATGACAGTATCTTGGATGTAATCCTAATTCCTATCTACAGTGATCTTGAATATATATAGTCGAATTGGAAATCATAAAAATGCTGTGTGCAAAATCGAATTGGAAACCATATAAATTCACACAGAATTATTATATATGTTATAGCATCTAGATGGCGAGTCCATTAGTCAAAGGGAAGATCGAAAAATGTATAATAATGCCTACGTAAGAGTGATGAAGGTGCAGCACAATGATCCCTTCTTTTGTTCTTCAACATAAAATGTCTACAGAGTGATGTAGGTGTGGAATAAAATGAATTATACAACATTAGTAATAATTACATGATAGTATATATATATAACTCTGATCTATCGGTGACTGTTCGGGAGTTTTATCCCATAATTTTTACAGCTATACAGTGTGAAGAAAATAGTCACTCAGAACAAGAGAAGGCACAAAACGAAGCAACAAAAAAGAAAGATGGATACTCGGTTAAGAGACTTGTCAACCTGCATTTCCTGCCTTCTCATCCTAGGGCTGCCACCTCCCGTGACAGGGTAAGAATTCTGATAAGGATACGTGAATAAACTTGTATCCGAGCTCCCAAACATCCTAGAAAATACCATGTCACCAAACATCCCAACCGTTGGACTGAAAACTCTAGTCATTGCAGCGCCTCCAAAGTTAGACGATGCCATGGAGGCATGATTCCCATAAGGGTGAGGGAAGTATTGTTGGTGATTAAAAGGCTGAGGCTGTGACTGGAAAGGATTGGGATGCAAATGTTGATTTGGATGGGAAGCCATGGAAGTTACCAGGGTGTGCACCCCAAGAGCAGGTGGTCTGCGGGGTATCACCAGATCCAACTGGGGCCTCTTGGCATCGGACTCCCCACGGCCATATAGTGGCACTAGGGAAGAATCAGAGATGTTAGTTTTGCAGACAGGGCACTTGGGCTGCTCATGTGATTCTGGGGAACTGCTTTGGACATGGATCCACTTGTAAATGCAAGGCCAGCAGTAAAGATGACCGCATAGGGTGACCACAGGGTCCTGTGCAGAATCTAAGCAGATATTGCACTCAAAGCAGCCATTCACATTTTCAGAAACCGTTGTTGGAGCTGAAATTGCCTTCCATCTTTGCTTTAGCAAAACATCTCCATCGGATTCAAGATGCGCTGTAGGTTCTTGGAAGTTTTGTTCAAATGCCATGAGCTCTGCTTCAAAAATGGAGACTTTTCAGAAAACAGACCTAAATATCGAGACAATTGGACCGAAGATAGAAAATGGATCATCCCACAGACAAATTTATTTTAACCTAAGACGATAAGAGCATTTACATAGCATAGTTATTTCTATGCCTGCGTGAGTGTGAAGCTAGATTATTTAGATAACAAGATAACATGTATTAATAAAATAGAATAACTAGTGTTACATGTATGAATGGATGGAATCATGGAAGTGTCCCTACATCAAGTTCAGAGATGCCACAAACCCTCATAAACTAGAGTTATCAACACAAAATTACCCGGGCACATAAATACACACAAACATAAGAAATAATGGAGCTTATTATTTATTTATTTTAATTATTATACCATTGGGTTATTCGAAGTGACAAAAGGATAGCAATATTATCCGCCAGACTGGCTTCAGGATAAATTAAAGGTAGAAAAAAGGCGAAGGTACCCCATCCACCAACGCATATAAAATGGAATAATCACCGATGCTAATGGAATAGAACATTAGGGCGGGCCCTACCATTTCCAATTTCAATCAAATGTATAAAGGTAACAGATGACCAATAGAGTACCAGCAGTATGTACTAGATTGGGTTTGTGACTCTCTCTCTCACACTCACACACAATTATACTTACAAGGTGAGATTGTTTTAAAATAACTGCTGCTAACATATCCTATCCATGCATACATTTCTAACATATATCTTATTCATGCATACATATCTATACAGAACCTTTGGTATAAAGAAATAAATAACATCTTAAATAATAATAATAATAATAATAATAAACAAATAAATATCATCTAAGGTTTACTTATAATTCTTTGACCTTCTAGAAACGCATTCCTAAATTGCTGCAACATTAAAAAATCATCAAAAGTTTGAAATGTTCTTATTTTCTAGAAATATGCAAGAAACTTGGCTGTTTTATGTTGCATAGTCAAGTGCCGAATATTGGTCATGCAAATAAAAAGTTTAAAATTGTTGGGAGGTGAATGCTCTAACATGGCCCTATAGGATGATAAAAACTTGTTGAATGGTCCAAATAACAGATCTAGTAAGCAGATATAAAAAAATTGCTGGTAAATTTTGGTCAGATTGTGAAGCCAAGGGAGGGAGGGACTATTTCAAATTATAGCATGTACTTTGTAAAATCTTTGTTCTGGAGTCGAGTACTTTCAGATAAACAATAAGTTTAAGTCAAGTACTCAAAACGAATAAAATACTTCCCTTTTTTTTTTTTAATAAGTAAAATACTTCCTAACAGCATCCATAGTGCTTTTCTATGATCATGAACAATAATTTACATAATTTATATTCTTCACCGCAATTTCTGTAAATTGTGGTGGTAAGAAAATCACATGAAAATCACTGAGTTATGAATTTGATGAAATCGGTGAAATATATGAACTAAAAGGTAAATTGGCACTCTTTTGAATTCTCCTAAACTCTCTACTGTAAAATTTGTCATTCCTTTTAAGGTGTTAAGACTTTTTCCCACTATAATACAAAACAAAAGTAGCTAACGAAACAATTATCTAGCAAAAACTCAAAAAGATCTAGGGAAAAGGTTTGAGTTGTCCCAAGTCCCAAAATTACCCAATATCATTCATAATTATGTATTGAGCCAAATTTCTATAGCAAATATTCTTAAAAGAAAGAAAGAAAAAGAAAAAAAAAAAAAAAAATTAGATGGACTAGCTTTGGTTTAAATTACAGGAAAATCGATTCTCTGTTCGGTACAATGTTGGGCAACTATATATTCCGATGATTTATCGCTTTGCTTTCCTCTTCCTTCCTTTATCTTCTCAGTTTTCATGAAAAGGAGGGTTTTGTAAATCAACAGCGCACAAAAAATGTAATGCCTAGATTAGCATTAGCCAAAATCTCATTTTCTTTTCCTTCCCTCTCAGAGGGACATATTTTCCGAGAGGCCAAAGAGAATATAACGAATTTCACAATATTTTCTCGAGGAAAAAAGACCTAATTTCCATGCATTAAAAGAGATCTAACAACAAAACAAAAACAAAAAAATGCAAATTTGATATACAATCTTTCACTGAATGACAAATAAAGCAAATAAATTTCATAGATCAACATAATCAAAATAATAATAAAAAAAAAAAAACAAAAACAACAGTTAAGTACAAGAGAGAGTGAGAGATTCAAGAACATATAATGTGTATATACCAATATTTCATACATTAACATAATAAAAAAGAAGCAACAACAGTAAAGCACAAAAGAGGGAGATTCAAGAACATATAGAATGTGTACATACCAATATATAAGACAGCTCAGAGAAAAATAAACAAGATCTGATATTTCTTCAGGCTTCTAAATGTAAACTTCAATGGCAAACAAATCGCTGTAGAGAGAGAGAAATGTTAATGAGAGGGAATTTCTACAAGGTCTCGAATAAGGGATCGCCGCTGCGATATTAGAGAGAGAAAACTTTTAGAGAGAGAGAGAGGGGAATGGTGCAGAGTGAATAGCGGAGCAGATGAGTATCGGATCCGGTTTTGGGCGTTATATTTATATATACAATTAAAGAGCCTAACGGCCCTCGTATATGCTATGCATACTTGGATTTATACACTCGTAAATACGTACAATCTTCGACGCGCGAAGATGTTTGACCCGAGAGAGATGTGATTGTGTGTACCCGTGTAACCGTTATCTTCTCATCAATTAACAGTTGGACTTTCTACAGCAAGGAATATGATAAACTACTAACTAAATTTCCTATGAAATTATTAGCAGGACAATAAACTCTTACCAAAAAATAATAAAATAATAATAAACTCTTACCTTTTATAAAATTTTCTAATTAGATCCATAAATTCACTAACAATAACTTGTTTCAGTATTTCTTTTTCTCATTGAGATATTTAAAATTATTTTTCTTATTAAAATATATTTATGAAGGTATTAAATAGCCTGGAGGTGGAGAGTTCAAATTTTCTTGGGATTGTTCCCAAGAAATTTTTTGGACGATAGTTAAAAAAAAAAAAAATCTCTTTTATGAAAAAATAATCTCAAATTTATATATATAAATTTATTATTTAATTGAATAACAATATAAACTAACTAGTCACTACTCACTAGTCATTCATTATTCATATATTTATTTAATTGTGGAACTTTTAATGCATGTTATAATAAATTTTACTGCAAATAGTAAAAATATTTATCATAAATACAAGTGATGAATGATGAATCCTAGAATAATTTTATGTAAGCGTGACAACTTCCTCGTGATAATTTTTCTTTATTTGATCGAATTCCATGGTAGCATTATCCAGAAGTTTTACACATAACCCTGACGTGGGGCAGATGGATCAAATTATAAAAACCAGGAATTGACCGTCCAGAAGAATGCGACTGCTTTGTTTATCAACCGGCATCTGACTGTGCAAGAAGAAGATTGATGATGTACAAGTATATTATATATATGTATAAGTATATTATATATATAGATCATAGGACGGGTGATGATTATTGTTCGAATCTTGTGTTGCAAATTCAGTCACAGTTGAAAAACGAGCATGGCGGCACAAGGCTTCCACATCTCTCGCAAGGATCAGCTAAGAAGATTTGACAAATTGAAATTGAAACCATAATATTATAGGGTACTTTATTGGATCGATACCATTTATCACCTTCTTCTTTTTTTCTTTTTTTTGTTTTTTTTCCAAACACTCTTTGATATTAATCCAACCAACTTATATTAACAAATTAATCAACTCATGTGGTGCATGCACTGAATAACAGAATCTTAAAATCATAGTTTTTTTTTTCTTTTCTTTTCTTTTCTTAATTATTATTATTATTTTGAAGCAAAAGAAGAAGAATAAAAGAGAATTAGGTGATGACTATATGCACATTAGCGAAAACACAATTTTTGCTCGTTGTTTTTAATACACAGGGCAAAAAATGAATCCAAGAACAACTATTCCAAAGAAAATTTTGAATACTCTGACCGAGCATAGCTCAATTTTTATTTTTAGTATCATATACTTAACTTTTTTCTATATTTGAATTATATATCTATAAAATTTTAATACTATCCTCATTGAAATTATAAAAAATAAAAAAATTACTATTGCCCAGGTTTAATATACATATATATTTTTTAATCTCAATATTGTTAAAGGCTGTCCCATTTACATATTTGTTCAGTTCCATCCCTGAATGGACCCAAGAAATTGTAGTGTGGGAAGGGTATAGTGGGATTTTTTTTTATAATTTCATAACTATATAATTAAAAAAAAAAAAAAGAAGGAAAAATTATTAGTATATAATAGTAAAATAAAAAAATCAGTAGGGGGGAAACTACAATGATGGCATTCTTATTCAGATTGAGACCTCATTATTATTGTTGCCTTGTTGGATCGCAATAGTGTGAGGTCAGCGTCATATTTCAAGAAGACTTGCTCCTATCCGGAAAATATGTATGTCACCCGTAGTTTTCAATCAGCGATGTAATAAAATGCGATGAGTGCATGAAATCTCAGTGAGAATGCTCTCAAAATTGATAAATACGGAGTACTTTTGTGCACAACTTTGATGTGACCAAATATGTCGGAAGAATTTTTTTCAAGGATAAGGCAGCCACGTATGAAGTGATGTGGATGGTCAAATCAGCCATGGCACGTACGCAACAGAGTTTGGCCGCTAAGCACATGGCGTGGCGTGTCCTTGCTGTAATTTTTCCATGCAAGTTTTAATCCTGAAATATGATTTAGCCAGTTTCACATTAACATGTGGTTATTAATTTTATGAATAGGTGATGAATACACTTTATTTTTCACTTTTTTGTAAAATGATTTTAGTGTCTCTTGATTTACATTGTAATATTCTCTCCCTGTGAATATTATCTTAGCTTTGTCATAAATATTCCAATAGCAATTCTAGTTGAATATTAAATTTCCACAAATTTATAAAGTTTTGTTTTCACGTGTTTTTCTTTTTCAAATTTTAGCTGAATTCATATAATAAATAAATCGCCCAGGAAAAAATTCATGAAGTAGTTGAATTTTGGGTTATTATTGGTCAATTTTTTTGTTCAACTAAATCCCTATCTTCATGTTTTCCATGATTGAGTTCTTGGACCACCTCAGTTTGGCTCGATAAATTCATACAGGAAGGATTATCTTCTTGAAATCGAATACCTTATAAAAATTTCAAAAATACTATATTTGCCCTTATATAAAGTAAACAAAATAGCATACCGGTTGGTATCACGATGATGAAAAGTGACATTTCAATAATGTAACCAAAAGTCAAAACTGTAGATGATATGAAAACATGCCTAGAAGGTATGGTATGGTCCACTAGTGCATACCATCACACAATTCAAATTGGTTTATGTTCCCTTTTATTTTTATTTCCTCGAAGAATGCTTCAACTTTTAGTTCATCCTGTGACAGGAAGTATTACTCTACTACAACTCTACAAGTCCAAGTAGTCACTGACTGCATTGGCAACCATCAAACTTCTCATAACCATCGGTATTGAGCTTCTTGGTTCAACTGTTCAACTTGTGCTGGAACCGGTAGCCAAAACTGAAAATAATTCTAATAATTCCGGTGACGGATTACTAATCGAATGTATTGGAAGTAGATTGGGTAGGTATCTAACCTTCAACATTATTTGTACAAGAGGACCGACAAACCCCCTGTAAAGTTCAATTATGTTCTCAATCCTTAGAAGAAGTATAGTTAG